GTTGTTGTTGGTTTTTTTTGTTTGTTTGTTTGAGACAGAATTTCATTCTTTGTTGCCCAGACTGGGGGGATGCAATGGCATGATCTCAGCTCACTGAAACTTTGCCTCCCAGGTTCAAGCGATTCTCCTGTCTCAGCCTCCCTAGTAGCTTGGATTACAGGTGTGCGCCACCATGCCTGGCTGATTTTTTTTTTTTTTAATTTTTACTAGAGATGGGGTTTCACCATGTTGGCAAGGCTGGTCTTGAACTCCTGATCTCAGGTGATCTGCGAACCTCGACCTCCCAAAGTGCTGGGATTATAGGCACGAGCCACCATGCCTGGCCAAAATTGCATATTTTAAGCACTAAAAAAACCCTTACATTCTATCTTCTCTTATTTTAGCATTTCTATTTAGTGATTGCTGTGAGAAACCGACAAAACCTGTCTCTGGAGTTATGTGTTGGCACCATCAATATCAACATCCAGAATGTCAATGATGAGAGTCCTGTTCTTAAGTAAGCAATGAGTAATCTAAATATTTAAATGATAAGATTTAGCCACAGAAACTTTTCTCATAGGAAGATAAAGACCATTTGGCTATTGTTTCACTGTTAATTTTTATAAATGTTTTAAAAGATCTAGAAAGCAAACCTCAATGAGTTGTATTTTATTGCTGTTTGTACATGCACTGGAAGTCAACTCATTTATATTTTGTCCTTGAAACTACAGAAGACAGCCAATATTTTTGGGTGGATTATGAATTGAAAGCTTCCTATTTTTCTGGTATTTATTTTTAATAATCAAAATATTATTTAAAAATGTACGTTGATATGTTCATACCATGAGGTCAGTGTAGGTATTCCAGAGAATTTTAGCAATAAGCACTTGCTGATATGGACAAATTCCCAAACACAAAGATAATGATAATAATTGCAGAAACATTTGTAGTATTTTGTAATCTGGAGTAAGGTACAATTTACCAATCAGTAGAAGGAATTGAAAAAGGATACAGTTAAAAGAAAACTTTTAAGTTCATTTTACAATATGTAAACATTCTCTACTAAATTTAATAACATACAACAAAAAAACATTAAGTAGGCCAGACTTGAAACTGTTATACACAGTTTATGTACAAACTGTTACACAATATGTATTATGTGAAATTTAAAATATTTGCTGTGTGACATAGATGAAAAGAGACATTTGTTTATACTGATTGATTAAAAAAATCTCTTTGTTTCACATATATATACCAGATGCACCTATAAATATTTATGAAAATCTGCCTGTTGGAACAAAGTTGATCAAGTTGACAGCAATTGATAGAGACATAGGGGACTTGGTACATTACGAAATTATAGGGACACAAAAAGAATTTTCTATAAATGAAGGTATAACAAATTTTTATGGTGAATCATTTTATAAATTATAATCAACAGTGTTTTTACTACTGAAAAATAAGCCTGATTGTCATTCTATTAAGATGAAACAATCTTTAAAATATTTATTGGCATATTTAGTGTATTTTCATGAGGTAGAAATTATTATTCCTTTTCAGAAGTATGGAAATGGTCTATAATCTGGCTGCTCCAGGAGGCTCCCAAATAATTTAAATTCACAATAGCAATCCCTGGGATTTTATTGTATGATTTTTTTTTTCTCTGAGAAGTAAATTTTCCTATGGAAACCAGAGCAGTAGTAAACATAAATTGAATATTTATTATATATCACATATTCTTATAAGCACTTTGCATACATAATAACCCCTTTGGGTTTTTACTATCCTAATTCTAATGTAACATATGATGCCTGGAAAATAATTTTAATTTATCCAAGCTTGTGCAGCTGATTTCTGTGGCAGAACCTCCACTTGAATTCAATCTGCTTGATTTTGACACTTGTTTAACTCTAACTACCTTCCACATGGCCAAAAGTTTGGAGTTTCTAACCCTAATGACGTAACTATAAAACAAGAAGAGGAAGACAAGAAAGATGTCTTCTCATTTTAAGAGGTGATATACATTTTTGCACATGAAAAGAGCTGGGTTAAATACACACCATCTATTACATCAGTTAAAAGAGCTCCTGGCAGAGAGTCAGAAACTGAAAGGGGTGACTTGTGGAGAGAAAGCTTGGTACGTCAAGTCAGAAGTTAAGGAGAGAGAGAGGGGAAGAGAGAGATCAGACAGACAGAGGGAGAAGCCGGCCAGAGCTGGCAGTGAGGAGGGGACAGTAGCAGAGATGGGAGATTAGTTATATACCGGGGGATTGATAAAAAGCTAAAGATAAATAAAGGATGGTTTCTCCCGTCAGAGATGTGAGTAACAATTGTGGAAAATGAGAAACTGTAATGAGCCATGTGAGGATAAATTAAAATTGAAGGTATCAGAATGAACATATATTTTTCCATATACATATGTGTGTGTATGTATGTATATATATACATATATGTATTTGTACATGTATATTTATGTGTGCATGTGTATGCAGCTAACAAACATTGAGGTAATTATATGTGTACATATATAGACACACAAACATAAAAACATACATTTTGTGTCTTTCCCTACTTAAAGAGTGAAAGAGCTTAGGAGCATGATATCCGAATAGCCATGAATACACCTATTTCTCAGATACTGAGTTCTAAATACCATTTTCCCTATAGAAGCTTTTTAGAGGAATGACTGTCCTTGAGGTCACAGCAGTTAAAATATAGAACAAGTGAAAAAGTAGGAACATGCTGGAAGAATGATGAGGGTATGTCAATAACAAACAAAAATGCCAGAAATCAGCTTGAATTGTTCCCCCTTGCCAATTCTAGAGCAATCTGAACATCAAAATAAATAATAGTTATAGATTATAAATCATAAAATGAGGCTGCATGAGTCTAGCAGATATAAATACTAAAATAAATGGACAGTTTGACGAAAAACAAGATGCTTACATAGTTTCAAAGTATCTCTTCACAAAATACTTTTTTTTTTGGAGACCATCTCGCTGTGTCACCTAGACTAGAGGGCAATGGCGTGATCTTGGCTCACTGCAACCTCCACATCTGGGTTCAAGCGATTCTCTTGCCTCAGCTTCCCAAGTAACTGTACTACATCACCATGCCCAGCTAATTATTTGTATTTTTTAGTAGAGACAGAGTTTCACTATGTTGGCCAGGCTGGTCTTGAACTCATAACATCATGCTAAGCCCACTTTGGCCTCCTAAAGTGCTGAGATTATAGGCATGACCCCCCATGCCCGGCCCACAAAATACTTATTATTGCAAAGGGCAAAATAATAGCAACTTTGGAGTAGAGAAAACTGACAGATACTCACTGAGTCAAATCATTAAAGTGGGTTTCATCAGTAAGGAGGCAAACTGATAACATTCAATAAGAATACAGTATAGTTTGTATGATATTTAATTAAAAGCTATGCAACCTGAATCTTATGAGCTCAGATTAGGCAAACCCAACTTAAGAGACATTCTTCAAAATTACTAGTCTGTAATCTTCAAAAAGTTCAAGGTCATAAAACTCAAGGGAAGATTGGAGACTTTTTCCAGATTTAAGGAGGCTAAAGAGACATGACAACATGCAATTCTGAACTGGATCTTTTGCTATAAAATACATTGAGACAATTACTGAAATTTAAGTGGAGATCTCGGTGTTAGATGTACTGAGGTTAACTTTCTGATTTTGATGTATCATGGCTGTTTGGAGAATATCTTTTCTTTTAGGAAATGTACATGGAGGCATCAGTTCAGTTACTTACTCTCAAACTGTTCTAAGAAAAAAATAGCTCTTTTATAAACTTGTAATTACTTTTAAAATTTAATAATTGTACTAAAATAGAAATAAGGAGAAAATAATGATAGCTATAGAACATAGATAGAGAAAAGCCAACACTTTAAATCATATTCTAAAAATTCCTGAAGAAGTAAACAAAAAGCAATGAAATACAACAAATACTCAGAGGTATCATCCAAAAAATATTCATAAAATAAAAGATTTGAAAGGCAAACTACGTTCTTGGAAAAACTAATCTATAATGGCTGAATCTGAGCCATATTTTAATAAAGTATTAGATGTTATTTTTTTACAAAAGCATTTGAGCCTGTAGGCAAAAAGAGTAGGTGACTTACAAGGGAGTAATATTGATACATTGTTAACAGATCCGTTCTCTAAGTTAATGGAGTGACATATTTAGGAAACCTGAGGACACATAACGTGATTTCACAAATTTACATTTGGCAAAATGACCTCTTATATTTAAAAAACAGCATATAAAAATTTGTGAACATAGGAAACAGTATTTCCTATTAGTTCTTCCTGATGCATCCACCAGAGAATGCACTCTAGGCAACCAAAATAACTAGAGATGTAAGAACGTAAGAAATGAGAATGAGCACCAGTTATATTTTTACCTGTAGATTAAAAATCAAGACTATAAAGGAGAGAACACATTTCACATAGGGTTACATGCTCTGCAAATATTGATGAGATAAAATTATTTAAAAAGCAATTCCCAATGAAAATATTATCAGTTTTTCTTTCTGTTGATTTCTGTTGTTGTTTTTCTCTTTGCCTGCTGTCCCCCACTCCAGCTACACTCTCTTCACCACCCCCACTCCACCTCGATCTTCTCTGCCTAGATTTCCTGTACTAATTTTTCAACACTCAGCTGAGCCTGTACTGTGTGCTCCCAACCCCAACCTCCATGACCCTCCCGTGAAATATTTTCTGAAATAATGCGGTTACAGAGGCTTCTCTCTTTTCCTGTCACTTACTCAACCACCATTCCTTACAGATCCACAATTGTGACTAGCATGTGAGTTTCATCAGATCAATGACTGACCTTTATTTATCCTTAGAACTACTTTATCCATGCAACTATTTTTTAATACATAACTTATTCATTTTATGAGTACTGAACAAATTTGCATGTGCCTGCTTTTTAGATTCAGGAGAGATCACCCTTGCTTATCCTTTGGATTATGAAGACAAAGCCACCCCAAAGTCTTGGATATTATATTTTAGAGCTTATGACAATGAACGAATACATTCAACAACTGGGACAGTCACAGTGTTTCTACAAGATGTAAATGACAACCCACCTTGATGCTCACAGGATATTTACATGTAAGTTTTGATAGTAATTGTTTGGTCTTCAGATTTTGGCACAGAAAGAAGCAGGAGAAAAATAAATGGGTAAGCATTGTACCATCCCTGGAATGAAGGTGAAGCCTTTTGTTCTTTCCTTTATTTTCAGGCAATATGCATTTCCTCCCTGGTACAAATGTATCTGATTTATTAATTCTTTAAAAAGTTTAAAAATTAAAGCTAGAAAGGATTCCAATGGATCATTTTGTTTAGTTTCATGCTTTCAGGGAGATAAAAGAACTATTATATTAAAAATCATATATTTGTATAAATATAAAGCTATAATTCATTTTATATTTTACTGACATTAACTTAATGATAGCTCTAAAACCACATACAAACTTACCTTCTTTGTTCTGGCTTTTAAATTACACAGAAATTTAAAATGCAAGTATGATATGTTATTTCCACTATTAAAATGGAGTTCAGTTACTCACCAAGTTTACACAGTTAATACATAGTAGGTTGAATCCTGAAACCTCGATTTTCTGATCCTTAGTGTATTTTTCTCTACAGAATACTAGAGTGCTCAAAAAGACTTAACTTAGTCTAGGAGTAATCTGGTAACATATCTCATTCCAACAGTGTGTGATTACATAATTAATAATAGATTACATGATAATCTCATTAATAATTAATGATCATCCATTATAAGTAATATTGTTGATATTATAACATATTATATATCATATTTAAAAAAATCTGAGGAAAACCATAGTAATCCATGCTTCCTGCAACAAAAGACTATCTAGATGCACCTAAAATAAACTACATGCAGAATTTTGATAGTCCTGCAAGTTGAGCAATAAAAGCCCTTGCTTAATTAAAAATTTCACTTTCACAGCAGAAATGCTATTTTAAAATACATTATAAAAGGTTTTTGGTGGTCTCACCTTGAGTAACTTTCTCCCACTGAAAATAACATTTTATTAATACACATGCAGGGATATATTTGATCACTTTATAATAAAAAAGTCCAAAATACACATACAAAAAAGGTGTCATTGCTGTTATACTAAAAAATCAACTTTTAGTTTGTAAACTTTTTGCCAGAGATGTTCTGCTAAAAACCAAAAGGCCAAAGAAGAATTCTGTAGCCACTCCAACAGTTGTTTGCTTCTACTTTCTATTCCAGCTAGTAGTCTACAGATTCTTATTGGAGGGTATTAGAATTTTTTGTTTCTGAAACATTTTCCATGTTAACAAATTAGACAACACACCTTTTATTCCTCGATTATTTTAATTGTAAGGTATTTTAAATGCTTGACATTAGAAATATTCTTTTAAAACTGACAAAAATACAATTATAATTGTGTGTACTATTTAAGATACCACTGATTGCTGTTAAAAATAAATAAATAAATAACATACGTATATATCACTGGCTAAACCAATAAGCATTTCTTTGCCCCTCATGTAAAGTGTGGTGCAGGTTGGTGGACTCTACTGTGTGGCACTCCTCTATGCTGTGACTCAGGGGTCCTAGACTACTCAGTTGTTTGGCTTTGCAGTGTGTTGCCCTGTGCTCCCAACCACATGAAGAGAAAGTGAGAAAGACAGCATGTGGAAGGTACCCCCAAGTTTTAACCATCATTGATAGAACTGATATATAGCATTGCCACTTGCATTTCATTTGCCAGCACACCTCACATAGCCTACTACTGCAGTAGTTGTAGGAAACCTGGGATATATAGAGGGATATATGAATACTGGTAAGAATAAATAGTCCCTGCTAACCAGCAAAGTTAATAGTCAATAGTTCTGTTTCTTTGTTTTAAGTGAGAAAGAAATATATATTATCTGCCTTAAAAAAATGGAACATTTAACTTCAAGAGATCACATAGAGATCTAGGATTTATAAATATAAAATTATTAATCTTTAATACAAATTTCCATTTTGTTCAATGATCATATGTGTGCATAATACTAAAGTTGTTGCTTATTAATCCAGCATAATAGCAATTCAATTCCCTTAGTCTCAGCAAGGATGCCAAATAATTTCTTATCTTATACAATTTTTCATCAACACTATAATTTTCTTATTGGCAAAAGTGGTTATTTAAAATGTGAGCACATTTTAAAACTTCTTTTTATTAAATATTATCATCTACATAAATCTAGATTAACATGTTACACTACATTTTTCTCATATTCTACTCGTTACAGAACTGAACTTCCTGAAAACATCCCAGCTGAAACTCTTTTAGTCTCTCTAACTTGTACAGATAAGGACGGAACTGCTCCCAATAACAATATAACATATTATTTGATTATGGATGCTTTTTCAAATGAAACATTTACCCTCACAAACAATGAACTAAGAGTAAGTATTTTTAAGTTGCTCTTTGATTGTGTCCCTGTGATTAACCTTAGATAGAAAAAATTTCATTTTCATTATTATAAAATTCTTAATGAACTACAGTAATTCAAATAGCTGATGGCAGAATTTGTTCCTGGATATTTAATTGAACCTTAAATTGCCAACAACATATCTTAGTTTGAGATGAATGCTGGAATGCAATTTTGATCTTTGGAACTGAACTAGGAAGGTTATAAATTTCCCAGAACACATGGCTTTATAATAAAATACTGTCTATTTCTTTGGAATGTGTCAAACTACTGAAACGGGATACCCCAGCCTTGGGGTATGGCCTTCACCAGGGACCACCCTCTTCAACCCAGTATTTCCCTGTCTCCTGTCCATATCACTACCACAATTACTTTTAATAAATATATTCAATAACTGTCAAATATAGTATATGAAGAGAATTAATGTGGATAGTTTATTACTGTATTCTGGGATGTACCATAGCTCAAATATTTTACTAATTAAAGAAATCTGGAACTTTATTTCCAATAAATTTTGAGACCTAGGTCAGGCTAAGTGGTGTTATATTTGCATAATTTTAAAAGAATAGGTGGGGTTAGATTAGATATTGTGTTCAACAAAGATTTCTGGGTAATGGTTGAACATTGCTATAATAAAAGCTGTTCAAACCCATGTTGAGTTTGTTATCATTAACTGATAAGAAACCAAACATGGGCTGGATGTGTAGACACAGGTAACAAACACTTCTTTTTCACCTTATTTTGATACTGAATTCATTGTAATTGGACTTCTTTCCAAGTTGCACTTCATATAAACCCTGAATTTTATCATTTTCTGTCTTATATTTTGTGGCTGAGATGCACAGAACCACTCTCACAATCTTACAATGGATGTCCTTCACCTCTGCCTTTTTGTCCTGGTGTTCATGCTATTCATACTGCTAGAAATTTCTCCTCAGTTATGTTGTGTCCCCAGTACTCACACACTTTTGCATAACCTTCATGGCTTTGTTTAGCAATTGTTTCTTTTAAGAGCTATCCTTGATATTTCTTCTCCCTCTTGTCTGGATTAGGCGTGTCTCATTGGGTTCTTGCAGCATTTTGTATCTCTCTCACCATAGCACTAATCACACATTCCATCTGTTTCAGCCATTAGATTGTAAAAGAAAAAAATCTGTTGTAAACTAGTTTCTGACATATATTCAGTGTTTTTGGATATATATATTTATTAATGACCAGTTAATGGGTACAAATCTTCCATGTGATAGAAGAAATAAGACCTAGCATTTGATCAGCAGGGTGACACTAGTTTACAGTAATCCATTGCATAATTCAAAATAGCTAGAAGAAAACAATATAGATATTTTTAGCATAAAGAAAAGATAAATATTTAAGATATATGGATATCCCAATTACACTGATTTTGATCTTCACAAATTATACCAATGTATTACATTGTTGCATGTACCCCAAAATATGTACATTATGTATCAATAAAAAATAAATTAAAAATACTGAATGAATTAGTAAATAAAATGAACAGAAGTATACTGTAAAAATCATATTTGTAAGGCAGTGACAGGAGTTAGAAATATATTATTGCCAGATGCATCAATGCCACATTTTCATAATTTCTTGCAACTAGAAGACATTGTTGATACGACTTATCAAAACAGATACTTGTAAACTATATATATTTCATTTGTATCCTGATAATGTTGGAAAATAATACAATATCAAAAATATCCTCAAATAGGAATATGAAGAACATGGCACTGAGTAACATTTCTTTGAATCTCCCCTCTTCATGCAATTCTAACAAGAATAAAGCAAATAAAGCAAGCACACAAAATACATGAGCAAACAACAACAAAATTTTTGTAGTGAACCTGTCCTAATTTTACAAAAACCATAAAACCAGCCACATAAATTTCCTGGAAGCCAAACCATTGAACCAGAGTATCTTATGATGGCTTTTTCTACCTTTGTCTGAGAATTATGAAATACTAATGTTCATTAAATTCACTTGCATATGGTATACCCCTTTTTTTCCCAGTTATTATTATTATTGGAATGAGAACAATAGTATTTTTCTCAAAGGGTGATTAAGCTCAGAAAGAATCATAAAGTGGCACCATCCTTATCTTAATAAAGCAGCCAGAGAAAAGAAGCTAGTGTATAGAAAAAGAAACTGACATAATTTTAGTGCTTAGGGAATAAAACATTTACTAGAAGAACATAGAAAAAATATGTGTTTGACTTTCCAACGATGTTTGAATTTTAAACTCATAAAAGGGCATACTTAAAATACAAATTTTTTTTAAATTAGAAATAAAATTGATTTGTTCTTAGATGCCATACATTGGCATGTGTATTATATTAATGAGATAAAAAAAGTTTAGCAGTCACTCAAAAATATTATTTACAATAAGCACCAAGAGTTTTATGTTAAAATAATTATTACAGCTCTAGTAGACTAGTAGATATTAACTTTAAATTTACCTTTACTCATTGGGGAATGATATTCACCAGGGTACCAGTGATAGCCATGTAATTGTAATGTTTAAGAATGAATTACTATTTAATGAATCCAGATGATTTCATATGCAATATATTGAATTTATTAATAAAATAATAAAAAATGAATATTTCTTTAAGTCAGTATTACTAATCATGTATTCTATGAGGTTATTTCTCGTTAATGAGCACTGACCTGAAAAATCACCCCAATATATTTTTACTAGTCAGTTCATTTTTTAATTACTATTTTATGATGTAATATTTGATATTAGATAACATAAGTAACATATTTGCAAGTAATAAAGCGTAGCAATAAAATGAACCCCTGAACCCATCATCTCACTTCAGAATTAGAATATTACTAACAGCTGTGCTGCTACCCTTTTCCATACCTCTGCTTGTCTGCTAGAAGCAAACAATATCCTGAATTTTGTGTTTGTCATTGACTTGGGGATTTTATAGTTTTGCTATCAATGTACATATTACTAGATAACATTGTTATATTTGCTAAGTTCTTGAGCTTTAAAAAAGTAGTATCATTTCTATGTAGTCTTCTGTGAATTGATATTTAATTCATTATGTGTTTAAGACTCATTATTGTTTAGGGGGTACTTGTTTATCATGTCTGTGATCTATCTGTCTATTTATCATCTACCTGTGTATCTATGTATCTGTCTCTCTACCTCAGTCACTCAGTTGCTGTAATGTTTCATTGTATTCCTTAATATTCCATTGTGTGACTATAACCATTCTCCCATTGGTAGAGATTTTAATTTCCTCCTGGTTTTTGCATGTTATGCATATCATTGTAGTGAACATTATTGTGTATTTCTCTTAGTGCTCCCAGAACAGAACTGCCACCTTATAATGTATTTAAATGTTCAACTATATGCGTTAGTGCCACATTGCTTTCCAAAGAGGCTGTACCAGCTTGTACTTTCATGTGAAATGTATAAGCATTGCTCTTGAGCAATATTTTTATCATAATAACTGCTACTGTCACATAGTTTAACACACTTTTGCCTGATTGATAATGCGATTGCACATCTTTTCATATATTCACCAATTCTGTGGATATTCCTGTTTCCTTTGTGTGAAATGCATAATCACCTATTAACCCATTCTTGTTTTGTTATTTTTATTGTTGGTGTGATACACTCTGATATTTTGGAAAATATCCTATATTTTCTTGTAAATATGTTAAAAAGTGGCCTTTCATATTTAAGTTTTTCTAAATGTAAAAGAACTTATTTTGTGGTGGGCAGTAAAGTAGAAATTCAATTAATTATTCTTCAGTATTTGGAGCACCTACTCTCACAGTGATACTTCTGCAAAGACCTCTAATGCTATTTCTGACATTTATAGAATTTCCATAGATGATGTGTCTGCCTTTGGCTATTTCCCTGTTGTAGCTGTAGTTCTTTTTATTGTTAAATTTATTTCTATGTTTTCAGATTACCTTACTATCTATGGATAAGAAAAGGCATACAATAAATTTACAAAATTATTACTGATGTGAATTATCAACTTCCTGACTGATATCTGGTTCAGTGCCATTTTTCTCCATGTTACTTTTCTTTATATATTTGGAATATAGACTGCAGAATTCAAATATTGGGAAGTACCTTAGAGATCACATAATATGATACTTCATTCATGAAGAAACTGTTTTCTCCCATTTGACTAATTCATTTATAGGCTCCAATTTCTACTATTCTGGGGACATTGTAGAATTTTTAAGAAAACAGTTTTATTCACCTATTTTTTTTGCAGCAACTCAGTATCTAGTTGCTACACATAACTTCCCTCTCTAATGGGTATTGGAGATAAAAATAGTTTGTTGAGAAAAATAGTTAATGTGAATGTGGGTGAGGTACAAAAAAGACTTCAGAAGAACTGAACACACAGCACACAATCACATTCTTTCCACTCCTTCCCTTGAAAGGCCTCAGACCTACTCTAGGCTACAACCACCCTGAGGATTGTGTGATTATGAATTAGCTGGAAAGGAGAAGACTCTTACCAATGCCTTTTGTATTTAACATTATTAAAGATCCTGAAAGCATCATGCCTGCCCCACACATTCTTCCCAGGAGAGTAAAGTAAAAGAGCAAAAATATGAGATGCTTTGACCTCTCCCAGCAGAATGGATTTCAAGTTTTGTTTTTGCGTTAAGTTTGAAGCTTGCAATTCAAAGCTTGCTGCCAACAGATTATTTCCACTAATACTAACCCAGATCTAACTCATTTTCAAAGAACACAAATTCATGACGGCTACTTTTTACACATTATAGTAACTATTTACAAGGAGAAACTATGGAACAAGAAAACAGCAATCGATGATGAATGAATCAGTGTGAACAAATGAACATGTAATATGACACCCTACTTTTGCTCTTACAGTGTATGGTAATAATTACAAAGTGTCAGAATATACAGTAATATCATCTTAGGTGTACAATCAATTTATAGCTGTATATTATATAAAACTTTGCTCTGCAGAACAGTATGGAATACACTAGCTACATGTGCCTTTGAGCTTATGAGCTATGTTTTGTCCAAATTAAGATATGCTACAGTTTTCAATGAAGCAATGAATTTCATAGAATTACTATGAATAAACAAATGTAAACATCATAACAATATTTTTATATTGATTGTAATTTAAAATGGTAGTATTTTGGATATTTTTGATTAAAATAATTCATTAAAATTAATTTTACCTGTTTGTATTATTTTTAAATATGGCTACTAGAAAAGTTAAATTTCATATATGGCACATATTTATAGCTCATGTTATATTCCTACTGGATAGTCCTGTTATAGAATATCACTTTCACTAATTTGTTACCTATATAAGTTTCATATGTCTTCATTTGGGATTCACATAAATGACAAAATAAATGTTTAACCAAAGAAAAGAAAATGAACCATTGATATACTGTTTTGAATCTACAGATTGGACCTACACATCTGGATTTTGATAATGCTATTTTTGCAGGAATGCATTTCAAATATACATTGTTTGTGAAAGTGTCTGACAAGGGAAGTCCTGTACTATCAAGTAAGAACTTACTAATTTGAAATATTAAAATAGTTTGACATAGAAAACACCCAGTACATTTAAAAATCTGAGTTTATTATAAGTATTCTAATAATCTGTTAGAATAAACTATGCAATATATTATTCTTATAATAACTTATTTAGTGCTTATGCACAGCTATTTAAAACCTGAAAGCCTACATAAAAACAAACTAGAGGAGAGAATGACACCCAAATGTTTAATATAGCACATTATAGTTATTTAAAGACAATGTCAAAAATAAACATTTCTAGAATGCTTGTGTATTTAAAATATTTCTCAAGGAATTATTTGTTCTGCTTTAGAGAAAATATTAATATTCAGATTCTCATACTAAATTGCATTCTTTCATTATTTATTATGCTGAAGTATTTTAATTATATATTTCAATTGGTGAATACTATGGTCAGCTTTTGGAAACTACGGTTTTTGATACAGAATACTAGCATTTAAATATAAACACACCATAAAAGACAATTGCTTTGACAGGTGTTCAAAAAACTCAATAGACTGTTCTAATCCTCAACTTATTTTCAAGTGCTCTGTAATTGAAAAGGTAATAATTTAATATTAAAATATATCAACATATATGTACTTGTAAAATTTATGCCATGAGATTTTAGAATATAAAATAATATGATAATATGAGGTGTTAATTAAAAAGGAAAAGAAAAAGGAAGGATTATTGAATAAGACACATTATTGCCTTAGCTACATATTTTATGTGCTTTTTTCTCCATAGCAATCATTACAGTCATCGTAAGTGTGAGTTGCATAAATGAACTGAATCCAGTTGGAACTGCATCGGCATTCACCTTCAGTGTATTTGAAAATAGTCCAGTTGATACACTAGTTGGAAAAGTTACATTTATTGATGCAGACTGGTCATTTAATAATATGAAATATACCATTGTTGGAGGCAATTTAGGAACACCTCCCAAATTTTACATTGAACCAGATACAGGTATCATAAAATGCTGATATCAATTAATCATAAAAGTAAAGAGTTCATATACACTCAGTGGAAATTTATTTAGAATCTGTGATCATGAGAATATCTTTCTCTTGAACTATTTAATGTTCACCTGGATTTCTTAGCTGTATCGATAAATTTTTTTTTATTGTATTTTAGGTTCTGGGGTGCATGTGCAGATCATGCAGGATTAGGTACACACATAGCAAAGTGGTTTGCTGCCTCCATCCCTACTTCACCTACATCTGGCATTTCTCCCCATGTTATCCCTCCCCAACCTCCCCACCCCCCCTGCTGTCCCTCCCTCGCTCCCCTCCAACAGACCCCAGTGTGTGATGCTCCCTGCCTTGTGTCTTATTGTTCTTATTGTTCGTCACCCGCCTATGAGTGAGAACACGTGGTGTTTGATTTTCTGTTCTTGTGTCAGTTTGCTGAGAATGACGGTTTCCAGATTCATCCATGTCCCTACAAAGGACACAAACACATCATTTTTTATGGCTGCATAGCATTCCATGGTGTATATATGCCACATTTTCCTTGTCCAGCCTATTGACAATGGGCATTTGGGTTGGTTCCAGGTCTTTGCTATTGTAAACAGTGCCGCTTTGAACATACATGTGCATGTGACTTTATAATAGAATGATTTATAATCCTCTCGGTATATGCCCAGTAATAGGATTGCTGGGCCAAATGGAATTTCTATTTTTAGGTCCTTAAGGAAGCGCTACACTGTCTTCCACAATGGTTGAACTAGTTTACACTCCCACAAACAGTGTAAAAGTGTTCCTATTTCTTCACATCCTCTCCAGCATCTGTTGTCTCCAGGTTTTTTAATGATCTTACCTAAGGCAAAGTGCTGAAGCTTTGATCTTTGCTATATTCAACTTCAGAAAGCCTATGCATATGTGCTCTTCCATGTATCCAAGAACGTGACTTAACAAGTGACTAAAATAGTGTATACGTTAATACCTGTTATAATTTTGCTGCTGAATTACACTTTAGGGGTATGAATATATAATGAATTCATTTGTATTAGTTAATTTCTATTATTATAATGATTTCATTTATAGAATTAATAATATAGAACAAACTGAAAATATTTATTAATCCTGGGATAACAGGTCTCCCTTTATTTTTGTGTCAGGAGTGATAAAGCTATTAGATTCACTAGACAGAGAAATTGAATCACAGTACAAAATATCTGTGAGAGTAACAGACTTGGACAATGATGCCATCCCTGACCCTTTCAAGCAGAGAAGTGGTACTGCTCATGTGACCATCAATGTTCTGGTAAGAATGAGTCACTGCTTGTGACATTGTTATCTCTTTGGAAGCACATTCTTGAGAAATATAAATGAGGGAAAGTTGTAATCATTACATTTCAGAGCCCTCAGTATGGATCTAAATTCAGAGAGTAGTATGTTCGTCCAAAAATATTCTAACGGTAAAATACATTGACAGAATTGTCATTATATACAAATTAACCCGTGTGACTTCTAAATTAATTTTATTGTCTTACAAATCTGAACTTAGATGTAAAGTGAGGATACCTCTGGTTGTATTTCAGAAGTTACTGGAAGGATTATTTTGTGGTTAAACATATTTCCATAAGCAAGCAAACATACGATCTAGAGTTTTAAGAAGTTCCTTTGATATATTTTAATCTGTTTCTTGGTTTGTCTGTTTTTTCTCACCCTCTCTGGTTTTCATAGAGGAAATATCTTAATATTTTTTACTAACAAAGATTCTAAGAGATCAGCCTCAGAACCTCACAAACACGATGACATGAAGTATACAGGCAAGAAATTCTAAGTTTTTTTTAAAAAAATTAATACAAGAATATATTTTACTTGGCTTGTCCAAGACTTACGTCAATAAAATTATGTACATTACTTTCATTGGCAGAAGTATATAGAAGGAAAAATTTGCCTTTATAGATAGTGCCAATTTTTTTTTTTAATCTTATGATTTTGTTTATACTCTTTTTTTTTTTTTTTTTTTTTTTGCTGCTTGAGAACAGTAAGAATTCTAACACTGGATCCTATGGAAATATTTAAAACCAAAAACATTGTTTAGAGCCTGTGCATACTTTTGCATGGTGAACACTTTCATATGTGTTCTTAGTGAGCTAAAATAGTTAGCGCTAGTCATGACTCAGTGTTACAATCCCTACTTTAGGCTTACTATGTCTGGAAAACACAATAAGCCAGGCCAAAAGTCTTTGTATGGAGAAGTTTAGTAAACTGACTTGAATGGCTTCAACCATGACTCAGAGGATGTCATAAGCTAATAAACTTACTCTCCTTAGGCCAGCTTTCAATAAGACATCCCAATACACTCTGAGTTACAGTTTCTCAGTAGATGTTCTTCGTATTTGCATTTCTGCAAAGTTATGTGTCACTTTCACACACTATTTTGTGTGTGAATTCCTACGTTCCAATAGGTAAGAGAACAAACAATCTCTGTTCTTCATCTATAAAAACATTCACATTTTTTCTCTAACGTGACTAGAAGGATTGGTTTAGAAAAGAATACTTGATTTCTCAAGACCAGGCAAAAGATTATATATTTCCCACTGTCAGATGGGTAAGCTTAACTTTGCCAAAGACACTTTACTAAATTTAAATACCTTTTCTCTGAAAAATACTTCCAATCAAGCTTTGGGTGGAAGGTATCAAAATGCTTCATTTAGAAAAAATAGGTGAAAGCCAAAATTCTCTAGTACAATGGAATTTTTTATACTACATTTTGTTCAAAAAAAGATTGATGCTGACATATGAAGGTAAACACAATAGAGTAATATTACATAAAGCCAGGGCAATGGATAAATTTTTTCTGTAAGAATAAACAACAAAAATGTATGTTATTTATAAATAAAAGTTCCATACTGTTGATTATCCATCCCCTCTCAATTCACATATTGAAGCCATAAGTCCTAGTGTGATTGCATTTGGAAATTATTCTTATTTGTATTTGGAGGTAATTAGGATTAGATGAAGAAATGAAGGTGAGAACATGGTCTGATGGTATTAGTCTCCTTATAAGAAAAGATACCAGAAAACTTGCTCTCCCCCTCTGCCATGTGAGGACACAATGAGAAGGTGGCTCCTTGCAAACCAGAAAGAGAGCTTTCACCAGACACTGAACATTATCTTGGACTTTCCAACCTCTAGAACTGTGAGAAAGTAATTTCTTTTGTTTAAGCCATGCTGTATATGGTATTTTGTAATGGTTGTTCAAAGTATCCTAAGAGAAATACCAATTTTGGTTTAGCAAACATAAAAATATTAGAAAGTTGTAGCATTAAAATATATATTTCTAGTAAATAATAGGTACATATATATATAAATATATAAATGGAAAATAATAGTAAGTCTAGGATCCAATATATAAAATAGTAGGTTAATGATAAATGAGGTTAGAATAAGAACCCATTTTGGAAAACATTGAACAATATTTCCTACTTTAGGAAGATAATTAATATGTAAAATAATAAACTTTAACATGAAGAAATGTACAAAAATAATTATGAAATGTTAATTTAGGGAGGGCCATCATCACAAGGCAAGCATCAATTGTCATTATATGGAAATTAACCTGCTGTGGCACCTAAGTGAGGTCTAACTGCAAAGACAGTTAACCTGTCTTCAGTCCAAAAATAGCATAGAGCAAATTAAAAAGGAAACAAAAAATTAGCAAAAATGTATTTGAAGCATTTATAAAAGAATTTCAATTAATATTTTTAGTCAAGAACTTTTTAAAATCAGAAAAAATCTCAACAGGAAATGAAAGTTAATATATAAAAAATATCACCAACTTTACTAGCAAGTTAAGAAAGAAAAATGAAGCAATCAAATTTATTTTTTGTATTGAATTATAAAATAAAGCAGATGATATTTTTTGTTGGACTTGGTATGGGGAATTGACAACTCATTTCTCTGGGAATTCAAATTGAAGTGGTACAAGGTTTTTCTGAAGGTTTTTGGCAACACATACAAATTAGTATTCACGTTTTATGTGTGAAGAAGCACTTTGTTCATAAAACGATTGACACTGACATATGAAGGTAAACACAATAGAGTAATATTACATAAAGTCAGGGCAATGGATGAATTTTATCTGTAAGAATAAACAACAAAATTTTTTGTTATTTATAAATAAAAGTTCAATACTGTTATGGACTGAATGATTATCTCTCCCCTCTCAATTCACACATGGAAGTCATAACTCCCAGTGTGACTGTATTTGGAAATATTTGTATTTATATATGGAGGTAATTAGGATTAGATGAAGAAATGAAGATGAGAACATGGTTTGGGGAATTAGTTAAATAACCAGCCTAGCACGGTTATTGAGAGTAGAGCCAACCCTTAGTCCTAGCCCTTTAGTCACAATACTCTTCTATTATTTGAAAACAACATAACCACGAAGACTACTCTCAGTGATTCCTGTGGTGGAAAATATCTCAAGTCATAGCAATCATTATTTTCTAAACATCTGAACATGTGTCATAGATGATTTTCCATGTGATTAAGTATTTTTCTCCGCATGATCTCTATGTCTTTTGAAAATTTTAATTGAAGCAATTCTGGTATAGAGTATCTACCTTTCATTTCTAAAATAACAAACAACAACAAAAGACTCCTAATATAGCACCCAAAAAACGTGTATACAAGATTCTGCTGTATCCTACCAGATAAACTAATTTCAAAATGTATGTTAGCATGTCTTAATGAGATAAACTTTACAGATGCCATTAGCTATTGCCAACTTCAAATTTGTTATTACTAATTGATTTATTGATCTGAAGTCATGTTTCTAAGAAAACTCTTAGGTCATGATAATAAAGTGCACCATGCTGATAAACTGATTGCTAGAAAATGCATATTCCACAGAAACAGGAATTGTGGGGGCGATACGACTTTGTTTTGACAAAATCAGGCACCACATTTTCAAGGAACATTTTAAAAGGAAGGGAAGTTCAGAACACATATCACTTTCACCATATAGATAATTATCACCTGTTTTAAATAAAAAGGCGATTCCTAACCACTATGACTCCCAAGAATATTTGAAATCTCTCTTGGCTATTGTCATTACCTAATGACATCTACTCATCTGCTTTTATTCTTGGATCATAGCATCAGCTTTAACAACTCTGGATTTTGAATTCAATTTAATTCATCCTTTACTCTCTTCTGTACCTATTAGTATTCTACTTATATGTTAAAGCCCAATATATTCCTTTTACATGAAGCCTTACCTTTTAAATACAGTGTAAACACTGGGCCAAACTGTATTGTGGTGCCTGTACTCATTCTGAAAACTAACTTCTCTGCTTTCAAAAAGCCTGCAGCCTGGTATAGTCATTCTTATCCAGGGTACATGTCACCCACTAAGATACTGGTATGAAAGATGCTCCATTTGGGGTTATAAGATCTACAAATTTGTTTCAAGTGTAAATTATAGATAAGTTACAAAAGAACAAATTAGGTCTTGCCTAATTTGTGTGCTGCCTCCTGCTGCTCCTGATCCTAGTGTTAACAGTGGGGAGGGTGTCCAGGTTCTTGGTGTCTTGAACAAAGCATTGGACAAAACACACAAACAAGGCAAGGAAGGAATGATGGGTTATGGTAAAAATGAAAGTACATTCCACAGTGTGGGAGTGGGCCTCAGCACAGGAGCTCAAAGACCCTGTTACAGAATTTTGAGGAGTTTAAATACCCTCTATGTAAATGAAGAGGATGAAGTTAAGCTAAGTCATTTACTTGGCCTACAGACCTATGGAAAGGATATTTCCTGTCATAACTGAAATGTGAATAGGCTTATGTTCCCTGCCTCCAGACCTTATTTTCCTGCCTTATCTCTCTGCTGAGAGATGTCAACCCATAAATCTTAATGGGAGGCAGAGGGACCGACAGTCTTTTTTCTGTAACTGCTTCATGCTGGCTTGGGCCATAGTCCCTACATGTTGGGGATGACAGAACTCACCCTCCTCTGACTAGTGGAGACAAGGTAGCTTCTTGATGGCAAGGTGTGGTATCTTCACCTGGAACTGGCTGGAATCTTTGTTGCATGATCATCTGAAGGTGGATGGTCTCTAGGTGAGAGGAAATGAATTTGGTTAAAAGATTTAATAGGGGCCGGGCACAGTGGCTTATGCCTGTAATCCCAGCATTTTGGAAGGCAGAGACGGAAAAATCACCTGAGGTCAGGAGTTCAAGACCAGCCAGGTCAACATGGCGAAACTCTGTCTCTACTAAAATACAAAAAAATTAGCCGGGTGTGGTGGCATGCGCCTATAGTTCCAGCTACCTAGGAGGCTGGGGTAGGGAAATTGCTTGAATCCAGGAAGCAGAGGTTGCAGTGAGTCGAGATCATGTCACTACACTCCAGCATGGCTACAGAGCGAGACTCCGTCTAAAAAAAAGAAAAGAAAAGAAAGGAAAGGAAAGGAAAGGGAAATACACTGTAGCATAATAATGTGTTATAACATCAGCCCTCTTGCATGGGAAAACTTTATACAACCAGAAAACATGCATTGAAGATAACAGTTGAATAAAATCTGTTTATAAAATGTTTAAATGGCTCACCAGGTGACCAAAGGTACATTAAGCTTTAATTATCTGCCCAGGAATATGGGACCAAGCACTGGTTATAAACTATTTAAGCAATTTCAGTATCATCTGATTTAACATGAAAATCTGACAAAGTATTTTCTTGGTATTTAATTAATTTTTGTTTTATTTGGGTTAGTAGCTTTATACAAGGAAATTGGTTATTTCTGTAGTTTACAGTAACTTAACATAATAACCATAACTATAATCAATAGCATATACTATTTTAGAAATCCATACAATTTTGGAATATGTATTAGTATTATTCACAAAAATATAACCTAAAGAAGGCTGAGCATCATTTTGGAAGTTCCATGTACCTAAACATGTCAAATAATCCTGTTTATATCTTTTCTGAATATTTTCAGGGGCCCTCTGATCCATCCAGAAAACCAGGCATTAAGAAAGATAATTTTGAAACTGAAGTTTGATTTTGGAATTTCAGATTACCGTAAATTATTTATTTTGTCAAAATGATGACTCAGCATTTTAAAAAACCTTTTACAACTTTTTACAAAAAATAAACATATTCTAATGTGTTTACACACCTTGCATTTGAAACTGTTTCTAGTAGTCTTAACTGCATGTTACAATGGTGACTTTTAGCAATTTTAACTTTAATATAAAACCTGGTAAGTTGTGTTCTCAGGTTTGACTATTTCCAGCATAGCTAGAGGTGTGCCCAACTCCACATTTCTGCTGGCCTTACCTAGCTGGAAAGCAGGCAAGTTAAACAATTTTCAAAAGCCAACGAAGCAGTTTATGACCTTAAAGCATTTAGCAAACCTAATATTCGAACATAATTTAAACCACGTTTATATTCTGAAGACACTGTATTTTACAAATAATCTGTAAAACCGTCTTTATTTCCCAAAGACTACTAAAGTTGTGAACTAAGAGGCATTATATTTTCTACTTTACTGGCAAAATATTTGATTTAAGCTCTTATTACTATTAAACCAATTAATTTGAAACTATACAGAGCAGATTAACCAGTTTGCACAGAGAACAAAGAGGCATTATGTTTTCTACTTTTCTGGCAAGATATTTGACTTAAGCTCTTATTATTATTAAACCAATTAATTTAAAACTTTAAAGAGGAGATTAACCAGATTGCACAGAGAGAAAGAGGCCAGAGATTGGTATGAAATTCTTACCCTTTTGCTGGCATGCCAGTTTCTGGGTTCTCTCTCCCTGAGCAGCCCCAGTGACCCTGCCTGACTGTATGCAAATAAACATATTGCCATGAATTAAGAATATTCACAAATAGTTTATAAATTTGGAGAAATTAGGCAGAGAAAGAGAAATATGACTCCAATTCTATTTATGAAAGTATACTCAACATGTTTAAAATATTAGAAAGCCTAAAATCTAAAAAGTTAGCTTATAAGGATAAAACGTTTGTGTGCTCCATTAATTCCTGTGGCCCAACAAAAGTAGCTTAGGAATTTCAGATAAATGGAAGGAATGATGACTTGCTAGAAATACATAGGAAACAAGATAACTATTCACAGAACCAAATAAAAGCCTTCCACTAGAAATTAAAAAGCATTATGCTTTTGTATATATGGATACACAACTAATGCCAGAGGAGAATAAACAGCAAATGAATGAAAACTAGAAGCAAAAACAAATAAGCAGGAAACCAAGCAACCCTAAATTTTCCTACTCAATTTACCCTGGAGGCTACAGTGTTACCTAGGGCCCCCCAAAGCCACATAATGAATATTTCATTCCTGACGCACAATTCATTTCTTAAATTCCCCAATATCATTATACATTCTGTGCAATCAAGAAATTTACTTTAGGCACATGACCAGTAAGCACTCACGCACTATCCATGCAAAACAGCAAACACAGTGTGAAGCAAAGCAAGCATGTACATGAAATTTGGCTCCATGCTAAATCCAGCTTCATGCTTAACTATGTTAAAAGAAGAATTGCCAAACTGCCGATGAATTTTTTATTTTACAATACTTATTTGACTAAGACTATTTGACTTCTTATTTGACTAAGACTTATTTGACCTCTTATTTAATTAAGACTAAGAGCTTTAACTATGAAAATGTTAATTAGCAAAATGTTCCCAATTCTTTATCAGGTTTTTAAGAATATTTTATTATTTAAAATTTTTCCACATCTTTCTCCCCTACTTATGATTCCTTACCATGTGGTTTCATAAATAACATTTTCAAATCTGTAATTTAAACTTTTAGGTAACTTTTGAATTGACAAAATTATTCTTTTTCCACTGATAACATAACTCTTTCTGGCACATTTTGTATACAGAATTAGGTGTTAACCAGAATTTTATCCTTAGTAAACTAAAACTTTAGTGAAACCCTAAAAAGCAAGTAATTCTGAACTATTAGACGTGGGCATTTGTAGATAAGAACAACTCCACAATTTTAGTAGCATATTTCCCCATATTACAACCCTTTTTTCATTGGAAATACCCAGATATTAAATGACCATTAAAAATAACTTTGACATTTTAGTTTACACAAATGTTTACTGCAAACATTTATCCCATTCACTCTACTTCATTTTTTGCCTTTAACAAGGAAGACATGATACATTAATCCAAACATGTAAAATGAACATTGATTTGGTCTGGTCAGGTCTGGAAAGGTGGGACAACTTGAAGTAAGGAAGGCGGTTGGGACATCCAGGTCACGGGTAGGTGTGAGAGGAATGGTTGCATTCTTCCAAGTTTCTGATTAGCCTTTCCAAAGGAAGCAACCAGATATGCATTTCTCTCAGTGAGACTTTGAATTTAATAGGAGGCAGGCTTGTCCCAAGCAGCTCCCAGCTTGAATTAATACTAACATTTAAAAATATCTAGCAAAAACAAACATTAGATTCAGACAAAATGTATGCTGACAATTCTGATGGCATTTCTATTTTCATTCCAGCAATCATTTTAAAGCTAACTTGTTTAGTAAAGTTACACTTTAAGTCACGTGAACTTGAAAATTGCTTAGACTTTACTTAATTTATCTGTGCTCTTTTACTTATAAGCCAATTTTGGTACAACATGTAACAATAAGTATACATACAAATAAATACATCTAGACATGTATACACATACATACAAAGATCCAATAGCTTGGAATCCTAGCCATGAGCTAGCAATACAAGCTTGCTTGTTTTACTTTGCTCTAATAGATAATCCAATAAAGGCTATGAACCAAACATTCAAGTAAAAAAGTCTCCATGGCAGTTTGATTTTTAAAAGATAAACCTCCCGAGACTCCAAAGAGCTCTGATGCCAAACAGGACCAAAGGAAGGCATCACACATTAATCAGTCCCCCTACTTAGAACCACAGAACAAAAGTCTGAATATATGCAATGCCATTCTGCTTTCCCATTCAACAATGAACTCCAGATTCCAAACAATCTTGGGGCCAAACAGCATTGTAACTGTGAGAGAAATTTAAAGGAGGGCTTAGTAGTAGATCTCAGAACCACTGCCAAGAGTAGAGAGCATCTTCGTGTGGCAGGTTGAGGTCTGTGGGAACCCTGGCATGTCCTCCTGTGGGGTCCAATCTGACCTTAGGTGGGTACCAGTGGCACATGCAGTTTTCCCCTTCAGAGCATGCAATGAACTTTATAAGAATAGCCATGAACTGTAATGAAAACTGAATGCCAGGTGGGCCTTTTCCCCCCTAGCCAGTTGAGTATGATAAGGGAAGAATTTAGCGTAAGAAAAGAAGGTTTAAGTCCCCTGAAACTTGTGAGTTTGCTCTGAGTTGTACCACATGTAAGAACAAGGTAACATGTGCAGAAAAGATTTTTTTAAAAAGTCCCTCTCCCTTTTGGGCAGAGCAATTATAAATAGCCACTGAAAGACTGAAAAAGAATGGAAACAAAAATAAAAAAGGCCCAGGTTCCTTAAGCAAACCTGGTGGTGGCAGTTATGCGTCTCCACATGGAAACCCCTTAGTTTCACTGGCCATGGCCAGAAACCTGCAGTTGCTTCCATGTTTAGGTGCTGCCCACCAAGGGTCCCAGGCTGGAAAGGAAACGAGAGAGGGAAAGAGAGAGAGAGAGCCCAAACGTTGGGCTTACCTCTTCTTCCTGGCTGGCTCACCAAAATATGTTAACAGTGGAGAGTGTCCAGGTTCTTGTCTCTTAAACAAAGAATTGCACAAAACACACAAACAGAGCAAGGAAGGAATAATGGGTTTTATTGAAAATGAAAGTACACTCCACAGTGGGGGAGTGGGCCTGAGTATAGGGGCTCAAAGGCCCCATTGCAGAATTTTGCAGCGTTTAAGTACTCACTACTTGAGTATGCCCTATATAAATGAAAAGGATGAAGTTACAAAGTCATTTACTTGGCCTATGCCCTATGATGAGAATATTTCCTGTCCTAACTGAAGTGTGAATTGGCCTTATGTTCCCTGCCTCCAGACCCTATTTTCCTGCCTCACCAGGAGTACCCTAAACAGCAGAATTCCAATTTACACAATTTACAATTC